ATTCCATATTATTGTCTTATTTTTTTAACTCCCCCCCTTCCCCCACCTTTTTTTTTATAATAAACTTTGGTTGGTCAAAATAGACCAGAGATAAGATTATGAGTGGGGCGACACAAGTGCAAGGCCAGCAGCTTATTTATAGCCAATATTTGTGAGTATTTATTGATGGCTTACAATGTGATTGATCCCGTCTAGAAGCAATTGCTAAACAAAGAAAAATTCTTGAATGCCCCGAACAAAGGGCCACAATTCCTATTGATATCGCAAAGTTTGTCGCTTGAAATGAAAGAAAAACACGTTTATGGCATTGATACTACATACTTAGCATCGGGGCTTGTCATTGAGTAAATATATGATAACTGCCTGGAAATATTTAGATGATTGTTTCATTTTGTTTAATCATAACTTTTGCCGAGTCACGCCTACTTTTAAGCATATATTTCAAATGTAAGTCTTTCAGAAACCAGTTTAACGGCGCTCCTAAGAAAAACCTAAATATAGCTAGTTGGTTAATAACAACTACGTCAAGCTTAAAGCCCAGCAAAAACCGGCTAAAACCGAATTGCAGCAGGAAACAATAACCAGCCACCAAGCTGATGGATCAGCTCGAGAGTCTGATCTTAAACAAGCCTTACGAAAATGTTCAATTTTAGCCGAATTCTGACTCAGCCTAAATATCCCCCTCCCCGAGAGGGACTGCATGCTAATTAACCGAATGGGGCCTCGAGAAGGGACCCCAAATCCAGGTCAGCCCGCATATCGTTGGGGTTTATTGAAATACCGAGGCTAGGCATAATATGTCATTATGCGAGCAAAGATAAAGCGCGCTGGCATTTCCAGTTGCCCCCATTGCGAGCGTTAGTTGAAGGGCGGACTCAATGGATTATACCGCGTAAAGTACAGTGACAGCTCCCTTGAGCAGACACATACATTTTTATATATAAAACAGTTTGTCTGTTGACTGACTGACTGATTGATTGATTGATCCATGTATAAAACTGTTTTTCTGTTGACGTCTGATTGACTGACTTGCAGACTGGCAGACTGAATGACTGACTAATTGACTGACTGATTGACTGACTGACTGATCGACTTACTGATTGATTGATCGATCTATATATAAAACTGTTTGTCTGTTGAGCACTGACGGACTGACTGGCAGACTGGCAGACTGAATGACTGACTAATTGACTGACTGATTGACTGACTGACTGATCGACTTACTAATTGATTGATCGACCTATATATAAAATTGTTTGTCTGTTGAGCACTGATGGACTGACTGATTGACTGACTAATTGACTGACTGATTGCCTGACTGATTGCCTGACTGACTGATTGACTGACTGATTTTGCTCGATGTAAAGATAAGTGGAAGTAAAGAAAAGGGGATAAACATTAGTAGATTTAATTTTCCATGAGAGTGTACTTAATGGAAAGGTAATTTCCCGCTAGTTATTATATTTTTTGTATAATAATTAATCACGTAAATAAATAAAAAAATAAATAGTAACATTTTTAGCACAAAACGTTCCACCATCAATGGCAGGCAGTAACCGCTAGTATATAAATAAATATATATTTGAACGAAATTTCTCAAATTAATAATTTTCTTAGATTTTCGGTAATAGAGTTTTTACTGTACGCTGAGCCTCTAACGTGGCTAAATGCCAAAAGCAAATGGCGGCAACTGAATACGTAAAAAACCGGCCCATGGCTTGTTCTTAAGCTGGAACTTGGGCTTGCACTTGGGACCTGGGCTTAGGTTTGGGCATTGAACCCGTCGCAAAGAAGATGCCACGCCCAAGGCTAAGGATATTTTTAGCACGCGCGTTTTTTTCAGAATGCGAAAACCAACAAAGAGCATAAAATTGCAGTTTCGAGTTTTTATGTGTATTTTGTGCTTTGGCCTAATTAGCAATAACTGGCAACAACTGGCTAAGGCAGCACGAAATTTTGCAAGTGAATGCAACCGACTACGCAATACTCTGTTCGAAATTAAATGTCGGAATGTGCCGAATGTACTCTCTATCTTGAGAAGGACAATGGAAATGAAGGCAAAGGTAATAAATATAATCACATACTTTGTTTAAGATGAAATGTTCTCAGTTTAAGTTATGGTTTACTAAGTTTTCTTGGACTGCAATGATAAAGATTTTCTGAATGCTTTGTTTTCTTTCTGCTCTCAGGTAGATGTAACTACAAAGCCAATATACCTGCTTTAGACGCCGCGCTAACAGAGTGTAATGAGCACGGGCAGCGCAAATACATAAATGCATTTGGCTTTATTCACTCGTGCACTCATTTGCAATTCAGACGGAGTCGCACAAGTTGGCCGCATTGCTTGCTGACTGGCTGACTGGCTGACTGACTCTCTGCTTTAGGCCAGATGTGCGACGACGTTGACAACTGGCGGCTGGCGGCTGGCGGCTTACTCATCGCCTGGTTCGTTGGCCACGATCCGCACTAACAGCCGGCACACATCCACAAAAAGCCAGCGCCAAAGCCAAGCTGCACACATTGGTGGTATTTACACAGAGAGCAATAAAAGTGCTCAACTAGGAGATACCCTTTATTCGAGCCTGGATTTATTGAGTAGAAGTTTGACTTTAATTAGCAAATTGTTTGTCATCTTTAAGATAGGCTTAAAAAACATAAGCTGAAACTCGATATTTCCTTGCACAAGAACAATTAAAAGTGCTTAACTAGAAGATACTCATTACTCGACTAGCTTTCGAAAAGTGCATTCGTAATATCTTTAATTGAGTAGAAAAATTATTAAAAACAGCAAATTGTTTGTCAGCATTAAGTTATGCTTAAAAAACATAAGCTGAAAATCGATATTTATCGATTTGCACAAAAAGAAATAAATGTTATCGATTGAGAGGTACCCATAACTCAAGCTAAGGGTTAATTGAGTAAGAATATGCTTTACACATGCAAATTATTGTCATTTTTGAGATAGGCTTAAAAATAAAGGCTGAATATCGATATTTATCGATTTTGGGTAAGCAGTTGCCCAGACCGACTCGGTCGTGGATGCTACTCAAATATATGCACATCAGAGAGAAGCACTTCCTATCGACCTATTTACGAGGCGACCCATTTAAATTCCTTCTTCCCCTTCATCGTAAATATTGCTCTAATCTTATACAAGGATGACCTGGGATATACTTGTTATGCTATGCATACATTCATGGTAGAAATTAAAACTACTGGTCGAGCGCAAAATAAAATGAATTGAAAGAAAAAATATAGATGTTTATACTTTGGCTCTTAACTAAATTTGGACAACTGCAATGTGCCCATTTGCAAGCGTGTTGAAGAATTACAGGGTATTTTAGACAAGCAAGTATAAAAGATATATAAAAAAAGCTCCATTCAAAGTGGTTTTTCTTGGGTAATGCGAGACCATTTCGACACGATCGTGTTTCATGAGAATTATTTATTATTTTCTGCTGCTGCTGCTGCGGCTGCTTTGGCCCCCAGGTTGGTTAAAATTTGTTAAATGCGGTTAAGCACCTCGGACAGTTGTTGCAGTGTGTGTGTGTGTGAATAGATCTCTGACTCTGACTTTGTCTGCCTGATTGTTGCTACACACATACACACACACACACACACACACATGCATACATTCTTTTTCTGCTCTTTTGGCTTTAAGCCACCGAACCAAGAGCTAACGACCTGCGAGCTGGGCATGACTTCATACTATTGCTTATATGTACGAATTATATACGAATTATATACATACATATACATATATACACACATATACATATATGTATTTATATATGTATGTTTGCAGCTAAAAGCATTGCAAAAGTTTAATTTGCTCTGAATCCGTGTTCGAGCCGTGTTCGTTGATTCATTCACATGCGTCTATTTCACATAGGTATTTCAGTTAACCAATTAATTTGGGTTTTTGATACCCTATAACTTTGTCTCGAAATGTGTTACACATATAAGGAGACATCTCTCACGCCATAAAGTATACATATTCTTGATCTGTATCAACAGCCAAAATGTAGATTCTTGTATGAAAAACATTTTTTTAATCAAGATATTTTGGTCTGCTTTGGTCTGCAAGGGTATTAAATATTCGGCGTTTCTTTCTCGTTTTTTTCTTCGAAAACCTTGACTTGCACTTCTCACTCTTGATGACATTTTGGCCTAAACTAACCCAGAACATTAGCTCCAAGTCGGATTTTTAAGTCGTTTCAATACCCTGTAAGCATTGAGAGTGGCTTCAAGTGGGGCGCCTATTCGTGTGCGAATGTATGTAACAGCCAGAGGCCAAAGGAATCTCGTTTTCTCACAAAGCGGGTATTGCCCGGCCTTGCCCGTGGAACCTACTGTGCGATTCGGCGAAAAGTGAGAAACATGATTCAAATGAATTAGAACTAAGATCTTTGAAAATGAGTTTGCGGTTGATCGGATGGTAGACAAAAAATGTTCATGCAAACGTTTTTCGCAGATTTTTCCACACATGTCGGTGGAATTTCAGCTAGGCTTAGATCTTACGAGGCTAATCTAACCGAAATCGATGAATATTCTAAAATATTTGCCATGCATTGGAATCCAAGACGATTTTCAGAAACAAACTATTTTTAATAACATTAATAAAAGCAAATTATTTATACAAATTATTATACATAATTATAAATAAAGCAAATATCTATCCTATTCTGGTTGGCATGTAAATTTTTTAAAGCACTTTAATTTTAAGAGCTTTCATCAGAGCAAAGTAATTCAACCTAATTCACAGTTGGTTACAAAGCATTGTCTAACCGGATATTTTATTTAATATTTTGCAAACACATTAAAATACTTGTAGTTCACGATCCTAACCCAACTCAGCCTCACAGTTGCCCACATATGATACTTTGTGTCATATATGTATGCATATGATATATTTATGTGTATAATATAGAATAATCTTGAATCATTTTGCGTATTGCCTTGATCTGTTGATGTTGTCTCTGTTATATTTTTTTACTTACTTGCGAATGCAATTTCCAGTCCTTGTAGGCCTTTACAATGTAATCCATTTCCGCGTTTATCTTTTGTTGTTGTTGCTGTTGTTGTTGTTGATTTTGGGCTTTATGAAAGATCTGCGTGAAGGAAAACGTAAAGTATTCTAAGTATGTACAATAAATATTTCACTTCACTCTCACTTATCGCCGGTCGGTCGTGTGTTTTTTTTTATTGAAAATTGTTGTTGTTTTATATATCGACCATAAATTAATGGGTTTTGTATATTTTTTTTAGTTTTGGTCACGATCTTTTACGCTTTTATGATTAGCTGATGATATTCTTGTTGTTGTTGCTGTTGGCGCTGTTTTTATTTTTCCAATAAGTCTCAGTTTTTATTTTTTTACGCATTCGAATTTTCTTGCGTCCTTGCAATTAAATCTTATGATTAAAAAAAAAAATAACTAATTTATAATGAGTACAGTGAAAGCTCTACTAACGGACTTATTTCTCAGGCAGACTTCTAGACAGGCTTTGGCAATCTTTTCGCTTACTTCTTTTGACTCCAATTTTAATAAGAGAGTCTTTAAGAACGACTAATTTATTCAAAAATTTTTAATCTTGAGCGTCAAAAATATGGCAACAATATACTTTCTTTTTTTTGATCAAATATAAAACACTTTTTAGATATTCATCTATTTTCAATTATGATTTTTTGTTTGTTTGACCTGGCATCTCATTAAGAGACCTTTCTCTATAGTTCTCATTTATTGCTAATACGAATTTTTGCTCTCAATTTCTGCAGGGTAAGGTTTTTGGCTATTGCAGTTATGTGTATGTGTGTATGTGTGACTAACTGTAACCGTATCTGTATATATGTGTGCGTGTGTGTGTATGTGCACTCATATAATGTTAACCAAGGCCAAAGATGGAACAAAAAAACCCAAAGAAATCGTTTTGTCTTTGCACTTGTGCAAATCTCCAGTGTGTGGCATTTCAAGCGTGTGTATGTGTGTGCGGATGTAGGTGTAATGTATGTTTGTGTGTGTGTGTGTGAGTGAGTGAATTTGTTTTCCGTCTGCGACAACGTCAAGCGACAACGAGCGACAACAACGCGTGTACCTCATTTCGTGATCTTTTGCAGTTGACGTTGTGTTTTTATCTACAAAAATTATATATTTATTTATTATTATTTTAATTTTTTGTTGTTGCCGCTGCTGTTAAGATTTTTTTGCGAGACAACGAGCCGCTTGTTTGTCGCTTATGCAGCGCACAATGGAAATGTATACAACAAATACGTACACGTGTATGTATGTATGTGTGTCAATGCACATACATAATGGGCTTGCAAGTGTGTGTGTGTGTGTGTGTGTGTGTGTGTGTGTGTGGGCGTAATGTATAATTATTAATTGTTCATTTGTTTTTGTTGCAGATGCTGCTGCTGCTGCGTCACTTGGCAACAACTGAAGTTTCAACTGAAACGGTTTATGCGCGCTTTGCCTGACTATATGTATGTATGTATGTGTTTGTAGTGTATGTAGTTGTATTTAAATGGCAACCTCTTTTTTTTTTTGGGCAGTCACTGGCACTCACAAATAAAACTGGCAGTAAAGACGGCGACGACGACGGCGGCGACAACGCGAGCGGTGCTGGGGGCGTGGGGTAGCTCAGATTTTCGCAGCGCGCACACACGACTAATACTAAACACTAATACTAACAACAACACACAGCCGGGCAGTGAGCAGCCAACCAGCTTCAAGTAACGCTCGATAACAACTGACTGACTGAACTCCAGCCCAGTCAGCTCCAACTGATGCGGCGACGGCGACAGCGACAGCGACGATCGGCGTCAATGCTTGTGAGCACGAACAAACGAAACCTAAACGCGCTCTCTCGCTCGTACGTTCTGCCGCTCCCACGCCTTGGTGCTCTTACACTCATTTGCACTGGGCTGCTGCCTGGAGCGTACGGCCGAGGCAGAGAGCGGCAGAGAAAGAGAGCAGCTCTGCCTGCAATTCAAGAATTGGGCTACGTTATGCAGACATGCATACACATGTGTATTCAATTTGTTTATTTGTGTTCTCTTCGACGCCTACGCTCACGAAATGTGCCCAATACACATCCAAACATACATATGTACATACATACATCTATGTACGTATCACAGATTTCGTTTAAGTGATAAGTATTTGTTTTTGTTGTTATCATGTAAGAGAAATTCACTTGTTGCTGACACTTTCTGAGAATTTTTATGAGTGGAGATTAACACTCAAGCAACAGGTCGTGGCTTCAGGCAAAAGAAATACATATGTTTCCTGCCCTTCCTTCACTTGCTGCGTCGTCTGGCAACGCCAGCTTCGTCATTATGTCGCTTAATTAGCATGCCGGCAACTCCTTAAGCATATACATATATGAATACACTGAGAATAAATAGACAAAATTTGTTCGCAATAGACAAACTATTCTAGTTAAAAATATGTATTTTTACAAAATTCACAATCAAATTTGAAATTGCGAATGATTAAATATGTTAATGAATGAAATATGGTATCTTTCTCTGAGTGTACCCAGGCAATTGTCTATTTACAAATGCATATTTAAGAACGGCGTCAATGAATATGTGCATTTGTAAACAAAGAGTTGTGTCTGTTTGGGTTTTTTTCTTTTTCTTATTTATGTGAGTATGTAAGTGGAAATGGGGAATTTTGTTTACCTAGACTAGAAATACTCATCATTGTTGTTACTGATTTGTTGCTCTTTGATCATGAACATGTTGTTTTTTATTCTATTTTGTTTTTTGTCATAGAAGATAAGCGCCAACAGCTGTCATACAAGGCAGTCCGTGTTAGTTTGAGAACGAACAAAATCAACAATATCGATAACGACTATCTGTTAAACTAACCTACTAACGGTAATGGCTGTGTGTGCAAAATGCGTCAGCTACCAATAAGTTTTGCTAAATATATAATTATGGGTATATCTGGCTGTTGCCAGGTGCTGGTATCGCAAAATCCTCTAGATTCCAGATGGTAAAATACCGTTACTGGAGAATTGGATGATTCAATTTCTTTGCAAATAAAAGTGAAACTGTCATCTAGTCGGAAAGTTCGGAGGTATCTCGTATCTGTTCGACGTCATTATTTTGCTTAAATCAACGAACCGATTGAATATTTGTATTATGAATAAAAAATAAATCGTGTTAATTGTGAAAACACGTACGACTTGTCGCCGGACAAATGCGCTTTTGTGTGAATTTTGCGCATCTGCGTTTGTCGAGTGTGTGAGGAACTCATATTTATGGTTAATATATAGCTTGGACAAAAAATGTTGGCACAACGGGCGAGAAATGGGCCCAGCCACAATTATGGCTCAATTATTGAATTGCAACTAATTTGAAAGACACACACGACGACCCCCTGACGTTGCACAGTGTATTTTGAAAATTTGATTTCGTTTCTGATCGGGCTCTAATGTAAAATGTGTGACAGCTGTGAAAAACAAACTGGTTATCATCCAAACAATTAGATGGCCACAAAGTCAAGGCTAAACATTTTAAGACTCGGCCAACATGTAATCGAAACTGTTTATGGCCTTTGTGTGGCGTTAATAAATTCGTTTTCACATTCTAATTTAATTAAAAGCGGAACATTTAATTAACAGTTGGGGTTTTACGGTACAGCCAGTGTGCACACACATGTGTACCTATAAATTCAAATTCGCGCGCAGGTAAAATAGCAGCCAGCTTTTATGTGCTACTGATTTTTTTTATTGATCTGGCAACATGACACACTCTTATGCAATTAGCTTTCTATCAGCAATGCATTTGTTTTTATTTATCTGGCAGCACTAATATTTTGTGCAACATTAATGTGGGCACACTCGCAAAGCAGAATAACAATTGATTGTTGGCATATTTATAAATTCCCAATCAGAAATACTTCCCTTAATCATAATGGTAGAAATTGGTAATTCGCTGCATTTTTCGCTGATAAAAGCTAATTATTATGCATTATTTTTAACGTAGCTTCGTTAGCCGCTGCTGTCAGCTGATGCGCTCACCGGTTGCATATCTTATTGGAATTATGTGGCTAACAATAAGCGGTCACACTGACAGTTAAAACCGCAATTTAGCCCAGGTAAGACGCGTTGTCGTTGTCACCTGATTGTGTTGTGGAAACGCCAAGAAAGATACGAAATTAAAAGGCAACGCTGCCGTTATGTGCGTGCGTCTGTGTTACGGCGCTGTGAAAGTAAAAAATTTAAATAAATTTGATTAGCACCAGCAAAAGAAACAACAATAACAACAGCCAAAAGAACGTGTGCTAATATACGCGAGTGTGTGCGTGTGTGTGTGCGCCAATGTGCATGTGTGAGTGAGCTGCTAAGGAATTCCAAGAAGACCGCCAACAACAACAACAACAACAACAGAAATAGAAATGTCACACAATAGACGAAGAGTGCGCACAATTGAGTACCTCACGCAAATGTCGACGGCGACAGCGCTGGCAGCGACAGCGACAGCGGCAGCGGCGATATCGCCGCCAGCACAAGCGGCGGAGTCAGCCACAGTTCTCGCTCCAGCTGCGGAGTCAGCAGCGACTGCGGATCCAGCCGTGGCTCCAGTGCCACCCATAAGATTACGTCGCGAGCATAACGTGGATGAGGATGTTGCAAGGTAAGCCATATACTGTTACAACTGTGATTTTCCAGTTGTCTGCCGTTGCCGGTTGTCGTGGAAAACCCGAAAAAACATTTCTTGTCATCTTATAACATGCAAACACACACACGCACACACACACATACTTGCATGAGATTGGAGCATGCATGTAACAGTGGGTGAATGCTCTCTCTCTCTCTCTCTCTCTCTTTGGACTTGACTGCCGAAACGTAAACAACGTGTTGGCTGTTACGTTTTTGTTGTATTTGCGTTTTCAATTTTTTTCCTTTCATCATTTTATTACACCACCAATTTAGCTGTTGCAAAAAATGTGCAAGGCGGCAATAATAATACAAATATTACTCGAAATTCAATACGCGGTTCAGTTTATTTCTATATTATTATTTTTGGCGAAAAAGAATCTTCATAATATGGCATTTATCATGCAAACACCAATACATGTTGTACATGCATGGACATGTATGTATGTATGTGTGTGTGTATCGGCTCTCTGCAAATTGGCTCTTCCAAGATATTGCTGATAAGAATTTCCAAATGTCTGATAAGACAACGCACACATACATACATATATGCGCATATGCATATCAGAGACATTTCTTACCTTTTCCGCTCCGCTTATTCATGCTTGAGACATATTTATAAAGCGAAAAACTTTATTATATCCGCCTTAGGGAGAATTCACTGTTTTGATTTTTGCGTGTCTGTCGCGTGGTCTGCGCCTGTGAGCCATGTTTCCTATGAAAATTTCGCATGTCTTTTTCTTGTTCGCATTTAGCACGAAATAAATGTCAAACATAAATTTTCGTGTAAATTGTGTGAGTGTTGGGGAGTCGCCTATTGAAATTTAGTGAAATTCATTTGTGTCTCCAGTCTCACTTGTTCTTCTTCTTCGTCTTCATCTTCGTATACCAGTTTGTTGCACTGACTGAGGGCAAGCGCACGCGCGCGGGGGGCGCTGTAGGGTATCGTCGATGTTAAAACGCGTTTAATACCTATGTGCAGATGTGTGCGTGCTTACGTACACACACACATACATGCATACGTGCGCTTGCACATTCCGCTTTGCTAACCTCTTTCGTTATGCGTTTAGCTCGACTCAACTCAACGCAAAAGTCAATTCTGTTTTGAAATCGAATTCGCTTTCTTTCCAAGTTACAATATTGTCTTCTCCTACTCTTCGTTGTCTTCCAATGGAATTCTTAATGGAATTTGTGCGGCCGCCTCTTAACTGTTGTTTGGCAACGAACACGTAACAGCTCACGTAGCCAGTGCCGTTGCTTCTCCCGCACGATCAACGAGGCCGCTGAATCTTTTGCACTTGAACTTCAAATATACAGTAAAAGCTCTCTTGAGCGCAGACCAACATATCCAGAAAGAGAAAGAGAAAGAGGGAGAGAGAGTGAGAAAGAGTTGTAAGTGTGACCGGTTAAAATAATGAAGGAACAGTTTGGGTTGGTTAAATTGCAGGCTGAAGGAGCTGCACTCGACTGCTCCCGCTCTCCCAATCTCTCTCTCTCGCTCTTTCTTTGTCTCTCTTCAGCGTAGAGTCCTTTGCAGTGCCTCAAATATCACATGACCTTGCCAAAACACACACACACACACACATACTCACACTCTATGAGAACACATTTCCGCAATCACACACACAGATACATTATATAATATAGCTGCATATTTTCATTTTTCCAAATTTATTTGTATGTTTACAAATTCTGGTCTATAAATTTTTATTGAACAAGCAGAGGAGGGGAGCGCTTTTCATAAGTGTCGATTGATTTGTATACAGAAAGTTTAGTACATTAAAATAAGAAATTAATAAATAATTAATTGCTTGAACTTGAAACATGAAAATCTGCTAAAATCTAGAAATTGATTTTTAATCAATTGCACCTAACGACCGAAAATAATAAGATATTTGAGCTAGTCTCGGCTACAAATCATAATTTAATTGGAGATAAATTATTAAAATTTTTACGAAATGCTGTCTGTTCAGTAACATAATAAATGTATAATAATTGATATAACCGAAACTAAAGACAGGGATTTAATATTCTACTTCAAAATTGACGAAAGAGTTGCAATATTTGACTATAATAATTCAAATAATTATCATAAACAAGTAAACGTTTTTTAGACACATTGAAATGCTTGCTTAGTTAATGATTAGACCTGATTACACCTGATATACATATTTAATTAAGTTGGCAAAATGATAACGCCAAAATGGTGCTGCCATAAAAAAGGTTGATGTAATTTTCATAAATAGTTTATATAGCATTCTATGTTCTTTTTGAATATGCATAAAATATATGATGCAAATGTTGATATACATAAATATATGATAAGCTGATAAACTGTAAATAAAAGCATTAAATACTTTTTAACTGTTGCCAAGAGCACATTACACACATACACACGTATACACGTGCAGCTGTGTGTGTGTGTGCGTGCGCAATATGTTTTGTCTTGTCGCAGGTTGAAACAGTTTCCAGACAGATTACTCATACGCCGTGTTATGGCCATGCTAGTCTATTGATTATTTATTTAGATGCTTATCTAATTTTATTGCTATCGGACAATGGGCCGTCCAATAAGGTAAAGTTCGTTCCTCGTTTGATTTATTTATAATAACCACTGTGCGTATGCTTAATACTCGCGTTGAGTATACGCATCGCTGGCCGATAAGTCGAACAGATTTTCAGTACTGTAAAAGCCATCGGTTTTTTGTTATTGAGGAAACACAAGTGTTTCTGAGCACCGATACATACATAATACTCATAATTCAATAATAATAATAAATACGCTCGCCGCAAACACAAACAAGTGGCAGAGTTCGAGCGGGGAATTACCGACTAAGTGATACCTTTGCATATTCAATTTAAATATTATAAATGTATTAAGCCAGACGGTTTTTTATGTTTTTTTTATATATATATGAACATACACATTTACATATACATATATGTGCATTTATAATGGCATCGGATATGCATTTTTCTGTTGCGTTTTCTAGTTATTTTCCATGCTTACAGGGTATTACAAGAATCAACAATCGCAAAGTTAATCTCTTCGATCTACCGTTTGTTCGATCTGCCAAAGCCAACTTTTGCACTTACGTTCCACATGCGCTCTCCCAGCTGTGCTCTCTGCCGCTCGCTCACTCTCTTGTGCTGTCACGCTGCCACCCACTAATTACACTCACTCGCTATCTATTTGGCCGACCAACTCTCTCGCTCTCACTCTCACTCTCCTGCTACTGTTCTCGCCGACAATTGGAATTGGATGACTCTTTATTGTTTTTTTTTTGTGGGTTCGCCTGGCGATTAGTTTGTCGCGCTTCGCTGTGTGTTGCGGTCGCTGCTCGCTGTGTAGTCACGCATATGTATGTGTGCATATAGCGTGCGTGCGTTTGTGTGTGTGTGTGCGCTTGTATGTACTAAATACACAGTATTGTCTCTGCGACTACATGGGGTGAAAATTGTTGTTGTTAAAGTGCTAATAAATTGACGGTCTGCCGCCGCATTTCAATTCGCACGCCAATGGCCGCGCATCAAGTGGTCATCGCCGCGCCGCTCCTCACCTCGGCTTGAAAAATAACTCGCTTCGCTTTTCCAACTGTGTTTACCTTGTGAAATTCAACTTTGTGCCGCCAGCCCTTGCCGTCTACTTGCATATTTATTAGCTTAAGTTTCAAGTAAATTGCCATTAAAACAAGACTCAACGTGATACGTATCGATCGATTCGCGGGGGGTGGGGTGGTTGGTTCGTTTCGATTCGACGGGCACACTCATCGTCTCAAAGTTCCCTAGGGCTGTTATTACAAGTGCTGCCCAGTGTGTGTGTGTGTGTATGTGTGTATGTGTGTATGTGTGTATGTGTGAGTGCCTGTGTGTGTTTGTGCGTATCGGAGGAAAATATTGTCGCAGTCCCCTTTCCTGATTATGTTTAACGGTGTTTCCCCCCGCCTCTAGTTTTCTTAAAGGAAATCGTTATTAATTTTTGTGAAATACATTAAAACGCAACATTAAGACGCATTATAAAAGAGTTTTTTTTTATCATTGTGCTCTGCGGCCGCAGTGGCTGCCCAACTGTGTGCTGCTGCTCAAACTGTAAACGCAAATTAACCGCAAAATGCCGCGCAAAAAGTAAGTAAAATACGAAGAAGAAGAACAAAATTATTAGCTTTGTTGAGCCGCAGGTTGAATACCCTTTGCAGCAAGAGTCGAGGTAGATAATTCGTAAATTTGTGCAAAACAAAAATACTCCATAATATTAATTTTTTTTCACTTTATATAATAATTAAATATATATTGGAAAAATATTAATAAATTCCTGCAAATAATTTGACGTACATCCAAGCCTTCACTTTTTTAATTATTTCTGTATCAAAAATGATTTGTACATAGTTTAATAAATACTTTGGAAGAAAATATTCTTTAAGTTTTAAGA